TCCCCGGTGGTGACCTGGCCAAGGTCCAGAGAGCTGTCTGTATGTTGAGCAACACCACGGCCATCGCCGAGGCCTGGGCTCGTCTTGACCACAAGTTCGATCTGATGTACGCCAAACGTGCCTTCGTCCACTGGTACGTGGGTGAGGGTATGGAGGAGGGCGAGTTCTCCGAGGCCCGTGAGGACTTGGCAGCCCTGGAGAAGGACTACGAGGAGGTTGGAGTCGACTCTGTTGAAGGCGAGGGAGAGGAAGAAGGAGAAGAGTATTAGTGTTACTCTTAAATGACTCTCAAATGTTCCATTGATGGAACGACCGAATAAAAAATGAATGTAATACATTGTTTGTCTTTAATTTTGAGCACTAATCTTAGTGCAACACCAATTAACCGACCAGTTCGGTTTGAGTACGGAAAGGGGCGTTGAAGCCTCAATAATATCCAGAGTGGCGCACTCCCCTTGACTTATGGCTCCCTCTCCCTGACGTTAACAGTTTCAAGTGAAAATGACACTCGAGTACCATCAGGGCATGAGGGTCATACACCATGAAACATATCATCCCACAAATACAAACAGTGACATCATCTCAATATGTCTGGTTAATTCAAATATCCATTACCACTTGAATCTAGTCTTAAACATACCATTGTATATTGGCTACTTTGTCAGTCATTTTCACCTCCATCCTTGAAAATCAATAGGTACCTGACAGAGGAAGTTTACCTTGAAACAAATCGTTACATTAATGCTCCACATAGTAACTTCACATCTTGATACATCATTTGCATGGAGGCTTTATATAGTAATTCTACCTTGAAACATCCAGTCACATACTGGCCAGACCTTTGTGTATCGGTAACGAGCTCTAAGATCTGACTTCAGTGTGACTGTAGCTTGAAACATCCAGTCACATACTGGCCACACCTTTGTGTATCGGTAACGACTTCTAAGATCTGACTTCAGTGTGACTGTACCTTGAAACATCCAGTCACATACTGGCCACACCTTTGTGTATCGGTAACGACCTCTAAGATCTGACTTCAGTGTGACTGTACCTTGAAACATCCAGTCACATACTGGCCACGCCTTTGTGCATCAGTAACGAGCTCTAAGATCTGACTTCAGTGTGACTGTAGCTTGAAACATCCAGTGACATGGATACTTGTACTTCAGACTTCTGTGATCTGACTTAGTGTCACTGTATCCTGAAACATCCAGTTATATGCGCACATCCACAATTACACGACAATGTGACAGATGAAACACCTCAGCACACGTATGTGTCTGTGCACGTGAATTCCATGCATGACACATGTTTGCGTGTATAGCATTCTAAACCTGGACGGTTGGTGATGATTCCTTGTTAATAATTTCATTAAGGTTTTTGGAAAGTTTTTACTGCTGTTTCAAATAATAAACTTACTAACTGGGCCAATATGAGAGATAAGTTACCGGAAGTTCAAGCTGGTTTCAGAAAAAATTATTCAACCATAGATCGCATTTTTACTTTATATGGTGTAGTTCAGAAATGTTTATCACGTTGTAAACACAAATTATACGTTGCTTTTATTGATTTTACAAAAGCATTTGATACAGTTGATCGTTATAAATTATGGTGTTGTTTGAGAAAAGCTGGGCTACAAGGGAAGATGTTTAATATACTAAAATCAATGTATTCAAATATCAAATCATGTGTACGTAGTGATTATGGTGTTACTGATTTTTTCGATTACCCGTCCGGCTTACGTCAGGGATGTATATTGAGTCCTCTGTTATTTTCATTTTTCATTAGCGAATTGTATTATGAAATTTCAAGTAACGGTAAGCATGGTTTACAGATGTATCCTGACACCATAGAAAGCCTCATGCTCCTTTTTGCCGATGATGTTATTTTACTATCTGACACAGTTATTGGTCTACAGAATCAGTTGAAGTATTGGATAAATACACTAAGGAATGGAATTTATCTGTAAATTTAGATAAGACAGAAATTATAGTTTTCAGAAAGGGAGGCCCTTTAAATTTTAAGGAGAGATGGTACTTAAATGGACAACGAATTAATGTAGTTAATGGTTATAAGTATCTTGGTATAATGTTTAATTCAACACTAAATATGGACAAATGTGTTTCTGACCTATCACTGCGAGGGAAACGAGCTTTACTTAATATGATGTCGGTTTCGCATAAACTTGGAGTTATTACACCTAATGTATTTTTCAAATTATTTGATACCCAAATACAGCCAATTCTATTGTATGGATCTGAAGTGTGGGGTTACCAAAGATTTGAATGTTTAGAAAGAATTCACCTACTGGCATGTAAAAGTTTCTTTGTGTTGGATTAGCAACTCCAAATAAAATGATATATGGAGAATGTGGAAGATACCCACTTTACATTAATTCGCAAATAAAGTGTTTAAAATATTGGTTTAATATCATCCATATGCCAGAACATCGGCTTCCGAAAATAGCTTATAACATGCTCTTTCATCTTGATAGTATCGGTAAGGTTACATGAGTATCGCATATAAGGTCACTATTATTCTCACATGGATATGGGTTTGTATGGTTTAATCAATCTGTTGGCGATCTATATCTATTTCTAAATGATTTTCGTAAAGTAGCAATAAATATGTTCTATCAAGGATGGCAATCCAACTTAGAAAACAGTTCACGTTATGATCTTTACAAAACGTTTAAAACGTTATTAGAGCCAGAAAAATATTTATTTGTTTTAACAAATAGTAACCTAAGAAATATATATATTAAATAGAGACTTGGCTTGTCAAAACTAATGATTGATTATGGACGGAATATATCACTTGAAAGAATACAAAGAATTTGTCCATTATGCAACTCTGCTATAGAAGACGAAATACATTTTACCTTTGAATGTCCTTATTATGCAGAAATACGAACTAAATATATACCGGAACGTTTCTCATCTAAGTTGAGTAGAATAGGGTTTGTTTCTATTTTGTAATATTTAAATTATCTCTATTTGTAAAACATGGAATGGACCTAAGAAATAACCTGTTGAATGGGATTTCAGATTTACCTTACTCTAAAAAGTCCTCCTGATTACCACCAGTTGTTAAATGAATGTTATATTTTTATCTTTTCCACTGTATCTACCAATCGGTATATTCTCAACCAGTGTATTTATGTAAACTTGTATATGGGTTGATGGCCTTTGATACAATAAAACACCTTTGACTTTGACTTTTGACTTTGACTCCCTTGATTGACTTTCATTGTCCCTTGATGATTCCTTGGTGGTTTATGATGATTCTTCGTAGAAGGTCAATGATTTGCTTATGATTCCTTGTTGATTCCTCAATCATTTTTTGATGATTTATTTGAAGTACCTTAGGGATCCCTGTATGATTCATGTAGATATGATTCCTTCTTTGTCCCCTTAATGCTTCTTTGACGATTATTTGATGATTTCTTAATGAACCCTTAATGATCTCTTTATGGCTCCCTTATAACCTTAGTGATCTCTACATCATGTCTGTACAGGAGAACGTCCGAGTATCTGTCCATTCGGGCCTCGTCTCCATTACCTTTCAGGAATGGACAGATACGAGAACTTTCTACGACTTAAAATACACTCAAACGTAACGGGGAATACAATGCAGATCAATGTACACCAAATATTTTTTCAGTTAAAACTTAATAAACCATTTCAGAATAAAATTATCGGCTTGTATTCGGTAAAAATATTAAATCAACTCTCCCGGTAGTGGAGACTCTTTGCGTCAAAGAACGAACTGCCACTTTTCACGTGCGTTGTATGCGTGTAAACCCGTATGTCTCCATTACTTCAACAAATGAAATAACTCGCACGTGCTTTGTACCCGTGTTAACCCGTATGTCTCCATTACGTCAGCAAATGTCATACATCTCACGTTTGGTTTGTATAAACCCGTATGTTTCCATTACTCTAATAATACTATAAAATGCACGTGATTTTGTGAGCGAAAACCCGATTACTTGAACCACGCGTGAGAAGACAGTCGTAAGGATGGACATCGATAGCTCAGATGTTGATGGCATGTTTTTGACCCAATCAACATACATGACGCAATATTCGGATATATCTTCAGATGAAACTGCTGATAAAGTTATTGTTGGTGACGTTTTGGAGGGTTTTGGTGACAACATCACTCAGTCGGATGACGAGTTAGTGGCATCTTGTATAGTCGCTGAGAAGCAATCAACGTATGACACTACGTATGAAACTGACAAGAAGGGAGGGAACGCGTCGGAGACGTCGGTTACCCACAGTGGCAGTCGTTTTCACGAACCCGTTCCTGACAGCATACTAAATGATCTACAAACCAAAAAGTAAGTACACGTTCATTTCGGATATTTACTTTAAATTTCGGATATTTACATTTAATTCTAGAATTTCTTTGAAAAGTATTAAAAGTAACGCGCACGATAAACTTTGACATTTGTACTTGATTTGTTTTGTATGTTTTCCCCGAACATGAAATGGAATTGGCATTTATAAAGTTATTGTGCAATAATAGTATTAAGCTAAATCTTACTCGTTTTCAGAAAGCTTCAGATATGTTACAACGTCATGTTGAGATTCGTATAGTTGATTCTGTTAGCGATTGTGTTTAAATTTTAGACCGTTCTCAGTTTACTGTCTGTCGTCAGTTTCGAACTCTTTTGAGTTTTTAAAGTTGAAGTTTAGTTTATAGTAGTTTATGATATCATACACTCTATATCTCGTCATTTGACTTTTGACCTTTCCGGTTTGCCGACAGCACAGCATCAAAAATGAAATGGGCTACAACTTTATTCGGAGAATGGCAAAGAAACAGAAACAAACTAGCAGCGGACACATCCAGGAACCTAAGCTCATTATGGTTCCACTGGAGGAAATGAGCGTTGGCGAACTGAACCATAGTATTTCTAGATTTGTCTGTGAGGTCCGACACATTTCCCGTCCGACACGTTACATGGACTTGCGACCTGCCTCCAATTACACATGGACAGCATTGACAAAGCCTACAAGTTCCTAACTAATGACGCCTTTTCGCAAATAAAGAACACCCAGGATAACATGATGAAACGTCGCGCTAAGGATCCATCCAGTAAGCCACCGGTTCAAGCCGAAGTGATCACGCCAGTGGAAGAGGAAGTTCTATGGGCAAAAGGTGTTCTTGGGCGTGATCACCCTGAGCAAGTATTGGACACTATTTTCTACTTGGTTGGGATTAATTTCGCCCTCAGGGGTGTCCAGGAACACCGAAATTTGCGCGTCGGAAGGACTTCTCAGTTTTCGCCTGATCTATACTGAGGACGTCTTATCTAAGTCCAATCAGGGGGGGCCTTAAGCATCGGAAGTGTAAAACAAAATCTGTGAGGGCCTATGAGAACGCTGACAAGCCAGAAAGGTGTTTGGTTGAACTCTTTGCAACATATTTAACCCATAGACCACCCCCAAAAACAGACAGTGACCCCTTCTACTTGCGACCATTACGAAAATCGATGGGCGACATATGGTACAGCAGTTAAGCAGTTGGACGCCAGAGGCTAGCTGCTACGGTGACGGACATTTGCCAAAGAGCTGGACTGACCGGACACAGAACGTCCAACTATTCATCAATTAAAACACAAATGCTTTTATAAAATCATTCATATGCGACTATGCATTTACATTATATATCTACAAAGTATAAGAAAGAATATGTATTACATATCAGTAATAATTTATAATATTTTCAACGCAAGACTCCCATATGTATATATTTTGTATGGTCAGTGACCGAATTTGTAACGAGTTCGGAATAACATCGTGGTATGTAGATTTGAATCTCCAGATCGGGAACTTTTTTGAAACCTTAATCACGACATGTTAACGAAGAAATATGTTTTTACAATATTTTTTACATTTATCCTTAACCCGAAGTACGGAATATTGGGAAAGTAAAATAACCTGTGGAAGTTGGTGCCTCCAAAAGAAGGACGTACGATAAAATTACACATAATAACCTGTGGCAGTTAGCGTGCACTCCATTGCAAGGGTTGTGTGGTGTGCTCAGAGCCTCCAATAGAAGGAAGTACGATAAAAACCGACATGAAATCGTTTTTGGGGACATTGCATGATATCATAGAGGTATATACACAGTGTAAATGACTGCACAATATCAATGAATAATTGATAAATATGATTTAAACGCACAGTTATAGGTTTACAACCAATAATATGTTTGTGCATTAACGAATGTCCAGATTTTAGTGGTGCTGTGTGGTATTGTGCATCGAGTCTAGGTCACAAATTAGTTGCAGTTAATCAAGTTAAGAACGTTTCTAGGACTTCAGTCCTGTACCAAATCGAAGCACATGTGACACATGTGGTTTAACCCTAGGCAAGTGAGGTTTTTTTTCAAAATTGCCTATGTTCACGTAACAGCGAATGGGTACCCGGTGGGGTAAGTTACAGCGCCTCAGAGGGAATTCATAACCAACCAATAACCAATTCATCCTATCAACTATATGAAAAGCAAATGAAACATGTACTCATTTTACAGCAAAACTGCAGTTATTCAACCAACTGAACTGACTCCCAAATTACATCAACAGCCATATTTGTTTGTATTTTGACATGTTTTATCTCAAGATTAAATTCCAGTCAAGACAAAGTTCATCCCATCACTCTCTTGCTTTTGTTCTTCCCTTTATGAAGCAGGAAGACTGTGATCACCGAACACTTCAGTGGGATACTTTGTAATTTCCCACAATAGTCTGTATCTTACTGTAACAACGCACCGCCACCAAATTCACATGGAACCAATTGCCCCCTGAAACCTCTTCTCAAAATCAGGTGCTCTAAAGACTTGAACAAGGCAAAACAGCAGTTCAACCATCTGAATTGTTCACTAAACATCAGTGATGACAACCAATGTTTGCTAAACGGGTAGACATATCCAGGCTTACAGGGGGGCGTGGGGTAGCCTAGTGGTTAAAGCGTTCACTCACGTCAAAGACCCGGGTTCGATTCCCCACATGGGTACAATTTGTGAAGTCTATTTTTGGTGTCTCCCGACGGGATGTTGCTGGAATGTTGCTAAAAGCGGCGCAAAACCATACTCACTTACTCACTCATCCAGGCTTAGGGATAGCACCCTCTTATCACATAATTTGTATGAAACGTTTACTGAATGTTTGTTGCTCGAAACAGCACGGCAGTTTTCCTGCCATGTTTGAGAGCCTGACCACCCGATCCTTTTAGTCGCCTCTTAGGTTGCTGAAGTTCAGATCGAACACGGATCCACATGGGTTGGAGATATCTAATCAAGTGATTCTCACCTTTCAAGTCACACGACAGAGCATGTATCAATAGTATTGAAACAAACAAAATGATCTTGATAATGTCTTCTGTGTACAAAAGCAGAAATTCTGCTGCTTATAAGTAAAGAAACATAAGAAATATGTTCGTACAAAAACAATTCACTACAAATGTGCATTCTATCTGCTCCCTATTCTCACATAAAGTCCAATACGGCATTCTGTGCCTACATGATCTGTTTTTATCAAGAGAAATGATCCCCTTTAGCAGCATATACATATATTCATTTCTAAATGAAGGTATAACTGATTGCTTTCGGTTGGCCATTAAGAATGAGGAGTTAATAAATTATTGTTTTTACACCATTTTGAAGACTATTTAAGTTATATACAGAAAAATCCGACTAGTGCATGTCTTACCACTTTGCTAGAACCCAGATCACAGAAACTAAATTATAACTGTATTCCAGACAAAATAAGACCATGGACACCAGGACATGACAAGGGGGATGTATTTTAGTAATTGACCCCAGATCGTCGGCGTGACGAGCGAACACTTTCACCACTGTACTATTCCTATGGCCCACCAAACAAGAACACGATTCACCCTCCTTCACACATACTAGGGACTCATTCTTAAATAGATGATACAGGTTCATCCATCTCTGTATGATCTTATGAATAAGTGAAGATACGTATGCATTTCGTATGTACAACAGACAAATACAAGGGTTTTACACATACTGAGTTGGAAAATCAAAGGTATATAACGTGAGTATATACCTGTAAATGACTTTAATTAACCAATCACAATCCAGTATTTACTGAAGTCATGGTAGAATTCATTTTTGCATTTTTAAAAGTAAAATTTTTTATATATTAACAAACATAAAATGTCACCAAATTTCAGGCATGTAAATATTGTTAGATAAAGATATATTTTCACTTTATAATCAGGAGATACTGGGTGACTAAATAAAGAACAACAGGAATATCTCCAGAAAAGAAGTGACAGCGTGGTGGAGGTATTTACGGTTTAACAATATTTCTACAAAATTTAGATAAGTTAATTTAACACCCCTTGTAAATCTGTAACAAGTACTGGAAAATCACCTTCAAAGTGAACATTCTTACCTCGTTTGTCTGGAATAAGTGATTAAGGTCAAGATTAAAAGCTCGGCTTACACAAATCCCTTTGATCATGTTCTGAGTATTGACGATTTGGTAATGAGCTTAGCAACGGTTACTAGCAATCAGCGTCCTTGACAACCGTCTGTCCACTACGTGTATATAAGTGTCCGGGCACCTGCTTTCAACATCAGACTTTCTCACCCCTGACAACTTGCAGTCCACGTGAGATCCACATCCACCTACAGCAATCATGGTGAGTGATACTGTCTATATATAAGTGAGAACCTTCCATGCTGTAGGAAATATAATGTACATTACTTGTGACATCATCTTGTAGGACATGACTATAATGTAAGGGGCGTATGTCGCCATGTTTGGGATTGGGATAAGCCCTGTCAATATGGTTCGCACCGTTCGCGAAACCGAGTATTACAAATGTGTGAAATTACATGAAATAAGATATAAATCAAGGCGAAGTGGTGTGTGTTCGATGCTCAGACAGTCTTCTTGTCAGTGACACCAGTTGTGGCTGCTAGTGGAGGCCATACACGATACTGAAATGCTATTTCCCATGACTTAAGTGACGTTACCGATTGGTTCAGTCTAACGACGATGTTTTGACATCATCAGAAAACTCGTCTGGTCATGATTAACGATCCAGTGTGTTCACTTTGAGGACTCATGCTGCTTGCTTAACTTGGTTTCATAAGCAAGCATCAATCTCTGCATTCGCCCCTGTTTCCCGTGATTAGCATTTCTTTTGGAACTGAGTATAATAACAAGCAACACGAGTTCTGATGCAAACCAGTGCAGCGCTTAGTAGTTGTAGTAGTTGCTTTATTCTGGTGAAGGGGACACCGGGCCATCATACAGGTACAGGGTATGATAAGTAACATGAGCGCTGTATATAATACACGTACATTGAGAACATTGGTGTAACTAAGATATTATTTCACAGATATCCCTTTGAAAAAGGAATCACGTTTCTTAGCAGCAAGAAATATATATGTTGCCAGATTCTTGCATATGTTTTGATTAGTGGAGCAAAATAACAAGACCATTTTCTATCGAGTTGGGAACATGTGATAATTTTGAGGTACAAGACTGGATCGCAGATCAAGGTAAAATGGGCACACGAGGCAAAAGTGAAATTCATCCTCGACAACTGGTATAATACTCAAAGGGCAAACACGTTCATTTCGTGGAATTTTATCATATCTGCCCGTTTCTATTAGAAGACAGTGATTAAAGAAAATTTGAAATATCAATTTGAAATAATTTTACATCGATAAATCGAACCAAGTTGTGGTATTGAAAATGATCTTTCATAGCAAAGAACAGTTCAAGTTTGGAGCAGGACAGAATATTTTCATGCCAGATTTAATTCTCAATGTCAACACATCTTTGCCTGAACTGATGTAAGAATAAATCAGCCCATCCAACACTCTGTTGAATCCAAACCTCTGCGAATCCGTAAGAACGCAACAATGATTTAACCTTGAGTGCCCAGCAAGAACTACGGTGCAGCGCTTAGTAATCAGGTTTCTATGAGTAAATGAGAAAATTGGCAGTTATATAAGACCTTACGTATTCGTGTAAATAACATATTCTTAACTTTCTCTTTCGTCCTCCAGAGGGAATGTATCTCAGTCCACGTCGGCCAGGCCGGAGTCCAGATGGGCAATGCATGCTGGGAGTTGTACTGTCTGGAGCACGGCATCCAGCCCGATGGTCAGATGCCCTCAGACAAGACCATCGGGGGTGGGGACGACTCCTTCAACACCTTCTTCAGCGAGACTGGAGCTGGGAAACACGTGCCCAGGGCCATCTTTGTTGACCTCGAACCAACTGTTGTCGGTGGGTACTCCATATTTTCATGTTTAATTCAAAACGCAGTGGAAATGTGCAATTTCTTGGTCGTTCGTTTAAAAATAATATATTCATTTAGTATGATTATTTGTGTTATCAGATGAGGTCCGTACCGGCACCTACCGCCAACTGTTCCACCCAGAACAGCTCATCACCGGCAAGGAGGACGCCGCCAACAATTACGCCCGGGGCCACTACACCATCGGAAAGGAGATTGTCGACCTCGTCCTTGACCGTATCAGGAAGTTGGCTGACCAGTGTACTGGACTCCAGGGCTTCCTCATCTTCCACAGCTTCGGTGGCGGCACTGGCTCCGGCTTCACCTCTCTCTTGATGGAGAGACTGTCTGTGGACTATGGCAAGAAGTCCAAGCTAGAGTTCGCTGTCTATCCCGCTCCACAGATCTCCACTGCTGTCGTGGAGCCCTACAACTCCATCCTGACCACCCACACCACCCTGGAACACTCCGACTGTGCCTTCATGGTCGACAACGAGGCCATCTACGACATCTGCAGACGTAACCTCGACATCGAACGTCCCACCTACACCAACCTCAACCGACTGATTGGGCAGATTGTCAGCTCCATCACTGCCTCTCTCCGATTCGATGGTGCCCTGAACGTAGATCTGACGGAGTTCCAAACCAACCTGGTACCCTACCCACGTATCCACTTCCCTCTGGCCACCTACGCCCCTGTCATCTCCGCCGAGAAGGCCTACCACGAGCAACTGTCTGTGGCTGAGATCACCAACGCCTGCTTCGAGCCCGCCAACCAGATGGTCAAATGTGATCCCCGTCATGGCAAATACATGGCCTGTTGTATGTTGTACCGTGGTGATGTCGTCCCAAAGGACGTCAACGCCGCCATCGCCACCATCAAGACCAAGAGAACCATCCAGTTCGTCGACTGGTGTCCCACAGGCTTCAAGGTGGGCATCAACTACCAGCCACCCACTGTTGTCCCCGGCGGTGACCTGGCCAAGGTCCAGAGAGCTGTCTGTATGTTGAGCAACACCACGGCCATCGCCGAGGCCTGGGCTCGTCTTGACCACAAGTTCGATCTGATGTACGCCAAGCGTGCCTTCGTCCACTGGTACGTGGGTGAGGGTATGGAGGAAGGCGAGTTCTCCGAGGCCCGTGAGGACTTGGCAGCCCTGGAGAAGGACTACGAGGAGGTTGGAGTCGACTCTGTTGAGGGCGAGGGAGAGGAAGAAGGAGAGGAATATTAGTGCCTACCTTAAATGACTCTCAAATGTTCCTTTTGATGGAAAGACGGAATAAAAAATTGAAAAATATTGTTTCACTTGCCTTTCTCTTATTGCTTCACAAGTGTAAGACGTTAGGTATGTTATGCGACATTTACTGCAAACCGTTACGGCATTGGTATGTCACGTGTACAAAAGGTAAGTTCTTAAATTTCAATAACTGGACAGTACAGAAGTAATTTTGGTATTTCTTTGTATATCCAACCACATACATACACGGGACACCACGAATAGGCTTCACACTCTGTACCATTGATGGAATCGAACCCTTCTTGTCGATGTCGGTGTTAACCACCCGGCAACCCCTCAGTACGTCACTGCCACAATTTCAGATATGGGTGAACGATTAGTAAAATGTATACACTTCTTTGGTGGAAAGATTGTTCAGGTAAATTGACTAATTAATCATCAACAGAAACAAAGAATCAACAACAGAAAAACAAAGCAATAAAACCTGTTTATATAAATACCAACACTCTTCCATATTCCTAAAGCATTTGTGTCAATTTAAATGTCAGACCACACCATCGACATACGTGCTTGAGTTCCCAGCAAATAGCGCTGATGATGCCTCTATAGTGGAAAAAGCCAACCCCAAAACGCTTGAACATACGATATACACGTCCAAATAGGGGATGAACATGGCATCCGTTTTGTCACTGAAGCGTCAAATTTAGAAATTGTTGCATGTCTGCCATTAAACTGTTTGAAAGTTTTACTAAATTTTGAAACCTTAGTCAAACAACTTTTGAGCAAATTCGTATGACGTTCATCGTGGGAAGAGCATGCTTGGCTGTACCTTACACATTTTGAACACCAGCATGGCCCAGGATTGATATTCCAACAGGATGATGTCGTTCCACACTTGACGAGACTTGCACAAAGTGTACTGTCCTGTCATCTAATTCCCCGGATGTCTCCCCCCTTAGCATGTGTAGGATGAAACTGAGCGGCGTCTACGCCATGTGCCAAATCCGCCACATAACGTTTGTGATATACCAGCAGAGTTGCAGAATATACAAGCCAATTCACAAGCCTTCCTTCGCCATTTGATGGACTCTATACGTCGGTGCGCTGGACTGCTATTCTCGACATTGTGACATTGCTGCTTGGACTCGTACCATCGATGTCACTGACATTAAACATGCTGCATATGGAGATGTTGTATTTCTGTTATATTTTCAAATTTATCATGAATGTTTTATTGTTGGGGCAGTGAGTGACTGAGTTTGGTTCTACGCCGCTGTGGGGATACTATATGTGCAATGTCTATATAGAATCAGTTCATGAATAGCACATCAGCTATAACAAAGCACTCCAAGTCTGCTGGTTAACCTTGTGTGGCGCAACCTGTGCGAGGTTTCACTGGTAGAGTGAACTCAGAAGAAGCATTATTTCATGTCATATTTTGTGAAAGCATGAAAAACATCTGTAAAATGCTGAAGTACCTAAAACATGCATACACCCCATTTGTATGTTTATAACGTTCATCAGCAGATAATGACTGTCACTAATACGAGCTCATTCTGAAATACTTTACATATTGTTTGATGTTTGTCAAGTCTCCAAACATTTTTCTGAAACGTTTTACGTGTGTCACGCAACGAAGTGATATTCTACATTAGACAATCACATATTGTTATGTTTTCGTACAATCGATCTTGCGATCACTTTTGAATTGGTGTAGGTGCTGTGTAGGTGGTGTAGTGGACAAAGCTGCTCACCAGAAGGTGGGTGGTTCGATCCCCTGGGCTCAACATATCAATAGACGTTCAATATAGATCCTGTCCGTGTGGGAGTCGTTCAGTGAGTCTAAGTGTGGCTTTTGTTCTTGTCCGCTCTAAGGCCTGTATTTGTGTGGTTAGTGTTGGTGACTGAAGTAGGGCCCCAGTTTGATTTCTCTGAAACTTAAAGTGTGTAAAATTAACTGAGATTGATTTAATCCATACACGTTTTTACCTCACGCGGGTCATATTCTGTCACTTACAGTCGGTTTGAGACAAAATGATACCGATGAATTGCAATCTAACACCAAAACAAATAGACATAAAAGAATCATTTTATCATTTTATCTCAAACGGACTGTAAATGGTCAGAGGAATACACTAAACGCCAAAAGAAACGTTACCCTCCTACATTTATGAATTACTTAAAAATTATCAAAGATATGTTAGAAGGTATTAGTTTACAAGAAAGCTTAACAACACAGCTTTATGCAAATCTCGAAAAAACAACTCTCAAATGCATTCATATGTAGGTGAAATGCATCTTTTTCAGAAGAGTTCAATTGTCCTATATTCGTCCATGCCGAAATAAACCAATAACAGTGACTTAGATGTCCAAGAGAAAGGTTGCAATAAAATTCTGGCTTGACACAAAGATAACCATTTAAAGTCACCATTTTAAAACCATTAAAACAAGAAACAAATGTTGTAGAGTGTGTACAATTGTAAAATAATAATTCCTATTATTTCAGTCTTTTAAAACATTTTCTGCTGATTTGCATTAGTGAAAACAAATAAAACGTGTCTTTGATATTGTGAAAAAATGTTTAGGAACATCTAAAATTATCTTTGTTAAAGGTCACATGCAACCAAAAAATCAAACCTAATTAAAACACAATTACCACTTATTCATGACATATAATATACATTGCTGATTATGAAAAAAACATATAAACAAAATTATAAGCATACAATCGCAAATCAAAAGTGCAATATTGTGTACTTGGGTTTACTTCCCAAGAAACGAAGCAGCCGGGATACCGAACCCAGTCAGAGCGGGTGGGTGTGCACTCAAGTGTGTGTGTATATATAGAGATGTTGGGTTTTGTAAATACATGCTCATTTTTTGTGTATAACATTTTGCAATCAACAGACATCATAACATGTCATGTGTTCAAGTATCACACCTGCCTGTCTGTGTAATTACATAATGTGACAGCGACCGAATTTGGGCCATAAATCAACGCGTTTTGTTTATGGTGTATAGCCTGATTGGTGTTAAGTTCAAATTGCATGTGGTCAGTGATCGCAGTTGTGTATTGAATATTGTCATTAGCAGACAGGCAGGCAGACACACAGGTGTCAATAAAACAAGACATTCAGTTTTGTCTGTGACAACGACATATCTATATCACAGTTAGAAATTCTGTACAACGCTAAATAATGACATTGCTTTTAAGTATCGAACTGAGAAAGTGACTCGGTAAGAAGAACGTGTGGTGAAATAGACAAATGAAATTATATAAACAGTTTATTTACTGTCATAACATATAAAAAGCTCGCGCCTGTGAGATATCAACAAAACATTAGGAAAATAGCTCACACCAAAAGCCTTCACCGAGTATTCACCGGACAGCCCGCTTCCAAGTTGCGCGAACCTATTTCACTGCGCACGTGCTATGAGCGCAGCCCAGCTGTTGAAACCAGTTTTCCCCAGAAAAGTCTGGGGAAAATTAGTGAATCGTTTGAACTACAATTTCGCGCGGGTTTTTTCATCGCGTTATTTTTCAACTTTATAAGTTGAATTTGCATTTTTGATGATTTGTTTCGGTAAATCCATACCGAAAGGTATCAGAATCTGCAAAGTTGTGTTTTACGTTGCATGTGACCTTTACTTAACATTTTTCTTTGCAAAGTTATATTTTTGTTTACACATAGCAATAGCAATCGCCACAACGCAGCAATATTCAAGCAGTATTAGCATCTGTTTCACGTGTAGAATGATTCTATAGGGTATGAAGAGAGCCTAGAATGCATGATATGATACACAAGTACGAGAAATATGCCACGATTAACAGCTGAAGAGAGAAAGAACCATTGTAATGGTGCAGATGGGGTCAACATACAATGCTGTTGCCAACGCCCTCGGATGCCAACGTATCACGGTTTATAAGACTGATTCAGGGCTTCAGACAGACTGGGGTCTCCGTAGACAGACCAGAAGTGGACTTCCATGCATCCCAACGCCAGCTGAATATAGGCACCTCCGTCATTTAGGAAGGATGGTAACGTTTGTTTTGGCGTTTAGTGTATATATATCTACTCTCGCTAAAGTTACTGGCGGTATAGTTTATGAATATCTATTGAGCAGTGAGTGATTATTTCCTTAGCTATGGCATGTTACACAGCTGCATCACGCACTGCCTTCTCAGAGCTACACGTTGTATCTTATCAAGATGTAACATATGAAGATTCGGGTTACAATTTATCTTCAGCAACACGTGCTTCTCGCAAGAGGCGACTAACAGGATCGGATCGTCATCGTATGCCATTTGCGTCAATTGACACTCATGATGTTGATCACTGGATTGTCTGATCCAGAGTTCTTCACAGACCGCCGCCATGAAGCAGTAAGATTGCTGAGTGCGACATTAAACAACAAAACACCAAACGAACCTGTGCAATACATGTATATACCATATGCTATTCGGCCAATCAGGAAGTAGGGGTGTGAGCATTATTTTAATCCACTGTTTGCAATACTCCAGCAATATTGCGATGGTGGACACCAGAAATCGACTTTGGATTGGAGAGTAGAACCCAGGAAGTAAAGCTTTAACCACCAGGCTAATCCACTGCCCCGCAATCAGGAATTAAAATGGCAGGAAAGTTCATGTCAAATCTGTTACGGGCAATCCAAAAAAGCTTCTGAACACTGCTATTGGAACTGCTCGTTCAACACGAATTAATACCCGGTTTCCATAAAATATGAGGGTGTGTGTGTGTGTGTGTGTGTGTGTGTGTTTCAAATAAATAAAACACGCACGAAATGGGTTTGATATGAGAACCTTGTGCGCAAAATTGAGCACAGCACTCAATCACACTCTCACTAAGAAATGTATGCCTTGATTTACATTTCTAGACGGCGTATTGACTTTAATGTTCAATAGCAAAATCTTGCCTGCTTTTCCTACAAAATACTTCGTATATTCACAATGTTGGGTGGGAAATTGATCTGAG